AAAAAATCTGGGCAGGACGGGGCAGGGCACCCAGGCTCCACTGGAGTACACAGACTGGTATGGAATTCCTGCCAGCCCAGAAGGTGACTGGGAGGGATGGCTGCACCTCTGTTCACCAATAGAATGTGAGGTATCAAAGTAATAAGGGGGATATTGCACCTTTCTAGACGTTCGTGCCCAGAATGTCCTTGCAGTCCCCAGCAAGTAGAGCCTATTCTTAGGTCCCTGGAATCTGAGAGAACACCATCTCTTTAAATATCCAAAATGGTCCAACCACTTGTAAACATTACAAATGGCTGTGCCCTCTGGACAACCAAAAGTCTACAGCTCAGCCCATCTCTCTCTTCACTGCTTTGCCTTTTATTCAGCAGCCACCAGTGTAGTCCTCCATGCAGGCTCTGGCTAGCAGGGCCGATTTTTAGGTTAATTCTTAGGTCCTAACACCGGCAGTATCCAACCTGTCCGTGTAGTCAGGATTGCTGACAGACCACAGCTCCGTACGTCTCCTTTTTTGGTGTTTTCATGCAGGTTCTTCTACTAGTTGGAGTTTAGTCCACTTCTGTATCCTTCCTTTCAAAGCTCAGGGCTCCAGGATTATCTTCTGTATCTGTGTTAATTTGTTCCCCTTTTCTTTGTTGAAGAGGGTCTGTGTAGTTTGTCTGCTTATTCTGCCATCTTACTGGAACTCCTAACTTTATTTTATTTTACAGGTTCTGGTTGATAGATTGTCGACAGATCCAGGAATCCGTTACGTTCGCATCACAAGTGTATAGAGAGATTATCTGTGTACCTTATATGGCCAAATTTGTAGTGTTTGCCAAATCCCATGACCCCATTGAAGCCAGGTTGAGATGTTTCTGCATGACTGATGATAAAGTGGATAAGACTCTTGAACAACAAGAAAACTTTGCTGAGGTGGCCAGAAGCAGAGATGTAGAGGTACTGTATTTTCAAAACAAAACAAATTTATGCTCACATGTTGTCTGTATGTTTATTAACTGGTTATATTTAAAGTAGAATTTAATAAATGGTGTTAAAAAAAAAGTCTGGTCTACATCTTGATTAATTAGGAGGAGGTCAAGTTCCAAATCAGCCATTTTTAGACAATTTGAACTGCTCCTATAGAAAAAGTCTCAGTATATGTGAGGAGGTGAAAGGATTCTTTTAAATATTATTTTAGGAAAAAATATGAGTTATTGATAAAGTCTAACTATTTAAATGACTACAGAAGTTTAGAATATCTTAGGTTTTCTTTTTGTTTATTATTTTTTAACTAACTGAAAAAAAAATTGTCGAGGAAGTATATTCCATGATGAAATGTGAAAATCTGATAATGTAGGGTTTTTCTACATTACTTTTTCTTGTATCAAAATTTTCCATCAGTATACACCTTTGGAGTCAAGTAAGCTGACTTACTATGATGTCAAAAGTTATCCAATCAGGAATTTAAATTAAGAATTTACATATATATTGGGTTTGTGGGATAACATCCAAAATGATGATGTTAGAAATGAGAACATTAAATGTTACCATGCATTTGAAGATCCTCATTACTAGTAAGAAGAGAGAGCACTGGTAAATCCTTAGGCATACATATGGTAAAATGTCAGTGTGCAATACAAGTATTGTCATATGTACATTTCAAGAATTTTAAAGTTCCTAGTAGTATCATCACTTCTTATTTGTCTACATAAGTTATAATTGCAACTATTATATTCTGTGCTCATCTCTGTTTTCACCCAGGTATTAGAAGGAAAACCCATCTATGTTGATTGTTTTGGCAACCTGGTGCCATTAACCAAGAGTGGCCAACATCATATATTCAGTTTTTTTGCCTTTAAAGAAAACAGACTTCCTCTCTTTGTCAAGGTAGTGTATACATGGGGTTTTATAATTTTTTGTTTAAGCTTTGACTGGCCTATGATTTCCTGAATCTATGAATGAAGGATTGAAATAAAAGTATTTAGTTTGCCACCTAAGAACTTAAACCCACTGACATTGAGTCAATTCCAGCTCAAACTGATCCTATAGGACAGAGTAGAATTGCCCCATACGGTGCCGTCGAGTCAGCCCTGACTCATAGTGACCCCTCCTTGGGTTTTCGAGGCAGTGTCACTACAGAAGTAGGATTGCCCAACCTTCCTTCCGAGGAGTGGCTGGTGGGTTTGAACCGCCAGCCTTCTGGTTAGCAGTCAAGTAGCCTTAGGCACTATGCTAGCAGAGCTCCTTACAAGGTGGTAAATCCTTATGGAAGCAGACTGCTTCGTCTTTCTCCCACAGAGCAGCTGTTAGGTTCAAACTGCCAAATTTGGTTAGCAGCCAAACACGTTAACCACTGCTACCAACTTATACATAATATTAACCACTTATACGTAAGAGTTTAGCTGGGTGATATGACTAGTGTTGTTGTGATTTACCAAACAAAAAAACCAAACTCATTGCCATCGAGTCAGATCTGACTCATAGCAACCCCTCCTTAAGTTTCCAAGACGGTATCACTAAGGAAGTAGATTCCCCAACCTTCCTTCTGAGGAGTGACTTGTGGGTTTGAACTGCCAGCCTTCTGGTTAGCAGTCAAATGTCTTACACATTATGCCACCAGACCTCCCTTATGATTTATGGTCTCGATATATTTGAGAATCATATAGCACAGCCATTTTGTGGTTATGGGTACATAATATTTTTTGATCCTTGTCAGACAAGGAATTTAGATTAGTTGCTACTTTTAAACAGACTTTCAGTAATTCTTGAAAATCAGTTTCTTTCAGAAAAAAAAATACAGCATTCATGCGTCATGTTTTCTAAGCATGTGTTTGCAAATCTCTTTTTATTAAGTTTTACCAAACGTGTATTGAGTGTTTCACTTTGCAATTTCTGGTTTAATTGTTTTGCCTAATTAAAGACAGATATTTGCTGGTTACCACATTAAACACTAACTGCTGAGTGGTAATATAAACATTTAACACAGACAGCTATATAATTAAGCTAATATTTGATACTGTTGATTTACAAAATTTATTCTAAATGGTAATAAGAAAAAGAAAAACGGAATGATTCGGAATCCTTAGTTAGTACTAACAAATGAATCTTATTTTCCCCTTCTACTTGCAGCATCATCTAATTAAAATAAATAGTATACATCAAATGCATAAAGATTATATGTCTTTCTTGTTTAAGGTACGCGATACCACTCAGGAACCTTGCGGACGACTATCATTTATGAAGGAGCCAAAATCCACAAGAGGCCTGGTGCATCAAGCTATTTGCAACTTAAATATCACTCTGCCAATTTATACAAAGGTATTGTAAAATCTGCTGTGCTGCATTTCAGGCAACATAGAATTTTATTTTCATGAGTTCTTAAAAATAAAGCCAAGACAGTGAATACAGCCACATATGACAGTCATTTGTGATTCCATATCAAATTTATGATTTTCATTTGAAGTAAGAAAAATAGCAGTTCTACCATTACTTGTTTTAAATGCAAATTTCACAAATACGTACCACACATGGAGGAGAGAAAATTGAGTTCAAATTTTATCTTTTTGGACTACGTTTTTAAAAGAAAAGAATTGGCTTTTTCTTCATTATTATTGGTTTTTTTTTTTTTTTTTT